GCCAGAAATCGTGCTTGTTTGTAGGTGACCAAATACTTATTTTCCACCATTATTGTTTGCAAAACAATTCTTTAAAAGTCAGACAAAATTATTTTCTCAATTTTTTTTTCACATTTTGTCTCTCATAGTTGAGGTCTACCTATGATGTCAATTACAGGCCTCTCTCATCTTTTTAAGTGGGAGAACTAGCACAATTGGTGACTGACTAAATACTTATTTTCCCCACTGTATATTAGATTTTTTGGCCCGATATCACGGTATGTGTGACATTCACCCGAGCTCTCAGCCTGTGAATGAGAAGTGTAGCCAATCAGAAAGTGAGGTGACGTAAACACGGAGGGGATTCCAAAATACAGAACACAAAAAAAAAAAAAAAAAAAAAAAAAAACTGTCATAACTCACTAGAAAGTCCACTGGATGTTAAAAGTCCCATGGAATTGTTTTTCCTCTGGTAAAAACATTTCCTTGTTGCAAATGTTTATTTACTCTGAACTCAGGTCTCTCTGGAGGTCTTGTGAGATTTTTCCTCGGACATCTGAATTCTCGCGAGATTTCAGGAAGTCGCGTGATTTAAAATCTTACATCTGAATGTTCATGAATAAAATATCTTTTCATGTGTGGTGTGTTGTCTCTTGCTGTGTGGCTGTACACCACACACTGTAGGACCAAACCTGGTAGATCCATGATTTTTATCCTCACGTGTGGGCTCTCAGTCTTTGAAAATCGTCAGGCCTTAGCTACTGACCCATTCACATTTCATTTTCCACACTCACACAGCTGAGAAACAGACTCTGGTTATTGGTAGCTACAGAGTCCTGAAATGTGGCACCAGAGACTGCAGCAACCAAAGTCAAATGCATTCTGGGGGCCTGAGTGGGCAACAGCGAATCTTACCTGAAACTGTTGACTAAGGCTAAGGCCAACTACAGAAAGACTGTGATTCATGTTGTTTGTAATGACGCCCAGTTACCCACTTGGAAGTCACTAAAGTTATTGTTGCTTCAGTATGTAACTTTGCCAAAACAATCTTGGCCTTTGTAGTTTTCTCTGGTCACCAACGTGACGATGATGACATGTTTAGCCAATTGTTGTCATTCACCTGTTTGCTGAAAACAATGGGGGCTATGTAGATAACTGGAGTGAATTTTGGGGAAATAAATAAATAAATAAATAAATACATCAATTCACATCGGATGAAGCCCCCTTGTTATAAAAATATGGGTGCTTTTGATAGCCATCCAAATTTTTGACAACCCAGGGTCCGGTTCAGAAGCAGAGTTGTAGTCTTACACACTTCTCTACAGACACAATCAGCTCAAATACAATGAACCATAAACGTTATAAAAAATAAACAGTTACTTTGCATAAAATGCTCCTAAAAAGGCTCCTGAATGAAAGCCAGCCTTCACTGATGATTTTACATTGTTTTCATATTTCTAAATATCTTCCTGTCTCCCTCTAATGCTCAGTGACCTATGCATCTGAGATGTGTGACGTTCTGAATCAAGACCTATTCTCTGCCTGTCACGAGTACCTCAGTCCGACACCTTTCTACCAGCAGTGCCGTGCAGACACCTGTAAGTGTGGGACACCCTGCCTCTGCTCTGCTCTGGCTCACTATGCTCGCCACTGCCGCAGATTCTCCATCATCGTTGACTTTCGATCCCATGTATCTGACTGTGGTGAGTTTTCAGCTGAAAGTTTACCTGTGTAATAATAATAATAATAATCATAATAACAATAATAATAATAATAATAATAATAATAATAATAATAATAATATTAATAATAATTTCCACCTGTAGTGGTTGCCTGCCCGGCCACTATGCTGTATGGTACCTGCGTCTCCTCCTGCCAGCGTCGGTGCTCCTCGCTCTCTGTCCCGCAGCACTGTGGGGAGGACTGTGAAGAGGGCTGTGCCTGTCCTCAGGGGTCCTTCTATAACCACCGAACACACACCTGTGTGCACAGGTAAGACTGAATAAACAAACTAAACTAAAAGATAGGGGTGCACCAATAAATGAGACAGATTTCCCTAATTTTGGGAGATGGGATGATACTTGGATAAGATCTTCTCTACCTCTACAAAAATCTGAAAATCAGCCACTGTCGTCTTCTGCTCTGCTGTGAGCTCTACCTAATGTCCAGTTAAAATAAGTTTGTATTGTTTCAATGGTATTGTTCAGTGTCTTTTAATAAAACAAGACTGGAACATTGAAGGTGTATTGTTACATCATAACACCTGACAGTGTCAGTTATTTAAACAAAATTGTATCGGCCAAAAATCGGAATTGGTAGAGATTGGTGATCGGCCAGAAAACTGCAATTGGTACACTCCTACAAAAAGATTTTGGTAAAATGGGTGATAAATCCATGCCCTCTTTGGAGCTCTGGCATACTGACAGCAGAAATATTAAACATTAAGGCAGGTCTTTAAATCAGTCCATCAGTGGTGGGCAGCACTAATCTAAACATTAGTTGCACTAACCCTAAAGCACTAACTCAACTATTTAGGCCACCTAATTCTAAAGCACTAAAGCACTGAAAAAATGTAGCAAACGCTGATTCTAAAGCACTAATATAATCCAGTTGACACATGAAACATTCTTCAGAGTCAACATGACACAA